TTTCTTTGCCTTTGCTTCTTTACATTCACTTGAGTGCGCGCGTGTGTGTGTGCGCGAGTTAATGTGCATGTGTATGCGCTTCTGGTTTTATTTTGCGATCTCTTTTCAGCGCTCTCTTCGCAGGCACTTTTCCACATTTCGCACACTTTAAATTAGTTAAATTGGCCTTTATTGCTCGGTGTGCTAAATTTTCGCCTTTCGATTTGGGCATAAAAAATCCCGTGGTTTAAACAAACACAATCGCACACGCATACACACACAGCGCTCGCTCGCGCACACAGACACACACACCCGCACACAGATTGGATAATCGATTTTTTTACGTTCGTTTCCTTTTTTGAGTTTGTTTTTTGACTTTGCTTTGCGATTCGATTCTCGCTGCGCGAAATTACCTTTTTGCAATTTAACGACTACGATGCCAGCGATTTGAAAACACTTTCAGAAATATGCCTCGACTTTCCGATCGATTTGATGCACTGTAGCTGTGGATTGATGGCTTAGATTAAAAATACCCGCATAGCCGCCGAACCGAGGTTTCCCGTCCAACACGTTCAAAATTTTTTTTTGACTGAGTGGTGTGGCCGCGGAACCATCAATGCATTATGCCGTGCGGCGAAAATATACCATTTTTACGTTTTCAAATACCCCGAAAATATTCCGAACGGTCACGCTGCGAAGTAATGTTAACTAACAGAAAAACCTTCTGCGTATGCGCTTCTTTGACCGCAGCTCTGTTGACACTGTTTACTAAAACGCCATCTATAATAGCCCTGTTAAGTGTCAGCCAACTTCGAAAGGAAAGTAAAAAGAGAGAAAGATCAAAATGAAATATATTTTTCTACTACAAAATAAAGCAATAATATTCTACAACAAGTCAATCTGGAATGAACTGTTAGCTAACACAGAATCCTTCTGTGTATGCACTTTACCACCCAGCATTTACTTATTAGTCACATACTACTTCGAAAACAGAGAAGTTCCAGTCGGAAGTTTGGCAACGCATTCCAAAATAATCCATCGCATCCAAATGCATTCGCGCTATTCCCATGGCTAGCATTTACATGTGCATTCCGGAATGCATTAAAAACAATGTTTATTTATTATCATATATGTATGTAACGGGAAAGATAATCAAAGCGGAAGATGATCTTGGTGAGCATTCTCTATAAAAGAACGTGTTTCAAAATGCTTCCACTGCCAACTTCGTAGGCCGTTTGTATCCAGAATCTAGTTAATCTTAATCTTAGATAATAATTTTTATTTAATTTTGTCTTTAACTAGATTCCCATTTTGATTATCAGTTCTCTTAGTTATTACATATTTATCTCTTTTTTTTTTGAAGGCTTATGTGTATTTTGAAACTGTTTGTTTTTACTTATGAGTTAAACTTACCGCAAAGTTAAATTCCGAAATTACGCTTAAAGTAAATTAAGTCTTTCTAAACCAGGGCTGCCATTTGATTCAGTATGACCAGCTCGATAGTACTTAACTTTGGTATTTTTGATCAGCCCCCATACGGTTTGCCGACGCCGACGCACGTGTTTTGAAAGTGATTTCAATTGTCCATTCAATTCCCAACCAGCAACAAATTGCCCTCAGTGAAGCAACAAGCCGAGAGGTTGCATTTTAAAACACGTTTTTCCTATAAAATACTAAACAAACAACTTAAAAATGGTGAGTAACTGACTGCAAGTTTTTATAAGAAACAATGTTAATAACATCCCCAATTTTTGCAGACTGAGGAAGTGAACCCCAAGGCATTCCCGCTGGCCGATGCCCAGCTCACGGCCAAGATTATGAACCTGCTGCAGCAGGCCCTCAACTACAACCAGCTGAGGAAGGGAGCCAACGAGGCCACCAAGACCCTGAACCGTGGGTTGGCCGACATTGTGGTCCTGGCTGGCGACACGGAGCCCATCGAGATCTTGCTGCACTTGCCGCTCCTCTGTGAGGACAAGAACGTGCCCTACGTCTTCGTGCGCTCCAAGCAGGCCTTGGGACGCGCCTGCGGAGTCTCCCGGCCAATTGTGGCCTGCTCGGTGACCACCAACGAGGGCAGCCAGCTCAAGTCCCAGATCACCTCCATCCAGCAGGAGATCGAGCGACTGCTAGTTTAGATATCTTTAGACTTAAGTGAACATGCGTACAAAGTGGAAAATTCAATAAACATGTGTATTTTTTAATGCAAATTGAATTTTTTGTTGCCCCCCTCGCACATGGTTGGATTAGGTTGACCATTTTCCCGCCACCGGATACTCGGCTCGAAAATACCAAAATATACTAAGTCAGATGGTCAGCTGGTGTAGCCGACAGTAATGACTGCTTCCTTAGAAAAGGATAGTTTACTGTGAGCGAGTTTTCTAAGGTGATTTACTTTTACTTTAATTGATCTGTGAGAAATAATATTGTCCAAAAATATACAAGGGAGTTTAAAAGGTTGTTGCCAAAAATTAGTTTAATTTGATTTTAGCATTTACTTGAACATTGTCTTTCATAGTCACCAATCATTTTAAACCTTTTCACGATTTCGAAAGATTTTAAAAACATTGTTCGCGCCAAATCAGGTTAAATTAGATCAAGATATTTGATGTATTAAGAAATCTTTTTCTTAAATGTCAACCTCCACAATACATTTCAGTTTATAACAAAACTGAAAAGTAGTGAATTTTATCCACAGTAAAATTCGGCTATTTTCCGCTAACCGCGCAGCACTCGTTGCCCCGTGGAGTCCCGTGTGAATGTCACTTGTTCGCCAATTCAACTGACCACCACCATCTCTATAACCATCCTACCGATCCGATCAGCCGTGTGAATTTAGCAACTGCGTGGAGCCAATGACAACGATGCACCGCCGCCTTTGTGAACCGAGGGAATCTCTGAAATCTGGATGCAAGTGACAAGCGGCGAGCGGAATCAAAGCACTCGGAATAGAGGAAGTGCCAGCCAACGAAACGAAAACCAAATCCTGACCAGCAACGCGACGGGATGAAGCTGCTGGGCAAATACGTAGACAAGGGCATGCAGGGGTGAGTGGACCATTGTGGCATTTCAATAACCATCATCATTTACCCTTACAAAATTTCCATAGGAATGTTACCCTGATGCCCGAGGAGTCAGAGGACATGTGGCACGCCTTCAATTTAATATCAGAAGGCGACAGCGTGCGCAGCACCACCATTCGCAAGGTGCAGAATGAGACGGCCACGGGCTCCTCCACCAGCAGTCGCGTTCGCACCACCCTAACCATCGCCGTGGAGAGCATAGACTTCGATACACAGGCCTGTGTGCTCCGGTTAAAGGGGCGGAACATCGAGGAGAACCAGTATGTCAAGATGGGCGCCTATCACACTCTGGATCTGGAGCTAAATCGCAAGTTCGAGCTGCGCAAGCCGGAGTGGGACACCATCGCCCTGGAGCGCATCGAGATGGCCTGCGATCCCACACAGTCGGCGGATGTGGCCGCCGTCGTCATGCAGGAGGGACTGGCCCACGTCTGCCTAATCACCGCCAGCATGACGCTGGTGCGGAGCAAGATCGAGGTCTCCATTCCGCGCAAGCGCAAGGGCAGCGTTCAGCAGCACGAGAAGGGTCTGGCCAAGTTTTACGAGCAGGTCATGCAGAGCATTCTGCGGCACGTCAACTTCGATGTGGTCAAGTGCGTGCTGATTGCCTCGCCGGGATTCGTGCGAGACCAGTTCTATGACTACATGTTCCAGCAGGCCGTCAAGATGGACTACAAGCTGCTGCTGGACAACAAAAGCAAGTTCATGCTGGTGCATGCCTCCTCGGGATTCAAGCACTCCTTAAAGGGTGAGCTCTACATCGTTTTCCATTCGAGTAATCTGACTAATACTCCAATCTGTATCCCCAGAGGTCCTCCAGGATCCCGCCGTGCTGGCCAAGATGTCCGACACCAAGGCAGCTGGCGAGGTCAAGGCCCTGGAGCAATTCTACATGATGCTGCAATGTGAGCCCGCCAAGGCCTTCTACGGCAAGAAGCATGTCCTCCAAGCTGCCGAGTCCCAGGCCATCGAAACGCTGCTCATCTCGGACAACCTCTTTAGGTGAGTTCCACTTGGCTGGGCAGAGATATTGTATGTATGTACGTAACTCCCAGCTGAGCACACATTAAGCCCAATCAAGCGGAGAGATCAAGAGCACGATCGCAAGTAAAAGCAGAAACCTTCAACTTTGAAAAATTAACGGGGAGTGCGATGCCAATTGGTGTGCTTATGTCGCCATATGGAGCACATGTCACCAGTGTGCTTTGGGTGCCGGAAAGAATACAAATGTTGGGGCAATTGAGGAAATCTCAAAAAGAGCAATCAATTTCATTATTGTATCGATTGTGTCTAATTGGTTTGATATATTTGCGTCTGCGGTTTTTAATTTATTTTAGTTCGAATTGAATTGAGCAGAAAATGCTCTGATGGTCTGAAGAAATTAAAAACAAAAGGATTGATAACTCAACCTTAACGATTGAAGAGAAAATATTCGCATCTTGTCTCTAGTTTTGCAAGATTATTTTGACTTTATTTTTTTTATTTTTTTTTATTTTCAATTATTTTTAAAATATTTTTTTATATAGAATTAGATCTTATTTTTACGGTTTTGAATGTAACCGTAACTCTTGTCAAGTAAGAATCTTTACTCGTTATAATGTCTAGACGTTCTCCATTTCGCCATCCACTCCACGATCAACTTTGGACTTCCATAAGCATTCGATGATCGCAGATTCTTCCGCTGCGAATTCAGATCTACTTCGATCGCACGCGTTTAGCCATTTAAAGAAAGCACGTCGAGCCTTAATTTGTTGGCCCCATGACGACGTGCTCATGATCAAGGTTGCCCCAATGTCTCCCCACCATTTTTGGCTGCCAGCCTGTTCTGTTCTGTTCTATTCACTACTCTTCTCCGCGTTTTGTTTACATTTTAATGGGCCCGTTGAAATTCCATCTAAATTTTCGTATGCTAACTGTGTGGCTGGCAATTAAATGAAATTAAGTGTTATAGGTTTTTCTTTACTTAACATTTTATGTACTTAATGTTCTAGGCAAAAGGTGTTTTATTTTAGCACGTTTAATCAGTCCGCTTAGGTTGGCTCCCCCATAAGAATTCTTTCCCCTCGTTCCAATCTCAGAAATTGTTCAGATCGCAGCTCGTCGCTATCGTAGTCGTCGTCGTCGTTGTTGTTGCTCGGGACTCGCCTTTATCTCGACATTTTTGATTGCTGCTGATAGTTTCGCCATTGTGCAAATCGAAACAAGATGGGGAAATGTCTAAAAATGCTTTGTTTAAGTTCTCCATTTGATTTACCGCTTTCGCTGCTGCTCGTTCCACTGATTCTTCCGCTGTTTCTGCTGGTATATGGGATCATCTTCTAAATCTTCTCTGCTCCTCGTCGTCAACCGCTTGAAACAATCGTCCAGGGTTTCCCTCAGCGGCAGGAGGCGATGGGGTGAAGGCGGGGAACTTGGCAACTTTCTGTAATCCAGTTTCTTGAGGGACTCGCACATGGTCGAATCCGGCCACTGGTGGATGGGATGGCCCAGTTCGGAGATGGTGTAGTCGGGCTGTCTGGTGAGCATCTCTGGTCCGCTTGACTCGATTCGATTTAATTCGACGGTGTTAAGTGGCCGGCACTTAAATAGGAACTGGAGTGGAAAGATATGTGCGTTAAGTACAGTCAAGTGGAGTTGAAATTTGGGCAGATAATCCCACGGTTTGAGTTTTTATAGTTTCGTTTTTTATATACGTAAACTCATCTTTAAATAGCTTTATCCATTTCTTCGAAACGTAAACTTTTCAGGTAATCTAGTTATACCCGTTACTCGTAGAGTAAAGTGGTTTAGACTCGACGGAAAATATATAAATGGTAGAAGCAATTGTTTCCGACCCTATAAAATTTATATATTCTTAATATGAACGCTAAGATCTTGGAGCTAAAATGTTTGGATTTAAATGTTTGGACCATTCATTAAAAAGTTAAAAGCAAATAAAGGAACAGACTAGTGTCTAGTAAGGTGTGCAATTTCGGAAACAGCCTATTTGCTGCATGCGTATCTCCATCTCTCCCGCACTCCCTTAGCTGAGTAAAGGGTATCTGATAGTCGAGTCCATAGACAACCGCGGTTTGTCTTGTTTTGAATTAAATTATCATAAAATAACCAAGCCAAAAATATTTTAAGATTTTAGCGTTTTCCCAATATATGACATTATTTAATGTTTTAAATTGGAATCACGTATTTATAAAAAAAAACGTACTATCAAATATGTGAGTGACATTTAACTCGCATACTTATATAATGAAATCATACTATTGAAATCACATATTTTCATATAACATACATACTCGTACATATAATGAACTTAAATTTTGGACACTACAAAAAAGTTCTTATCAGCAAGTGATTATAAAAAAATGTAGAGCCATTGTTATGAATGTTTAAGATAAGTTAAGATAGCTAACGTGAGGTTACTCAAACATTACGACAAACATGTTTGTTTGGCTTTCTCCCTGCTTTTTATATCAGCTTCTCCGACTTCGATTCGTCCCTCACCCATTTAGACCGTATCCGTTGATACTCATGGTCGATTTCCGAGCTAGATTTGCGTGCTCTGTTTTGGGGTCTTTTTTTATAGAGCTGTTTTCGCCAGACGAGTTTCGATTAGCAAATGACAAAGACTGAACTAAACTTTGATGTAAATAAGCTGTGTACTCTATACGATTATAACCATGTGGAATTGAATCCCCCATCGCTCAGCGATCCATTTCTTGTGCTAATTATTAGAACCCGTTGTGGGCGAAAGATTGCGGAGGAGAGAGCAAAACACAGCGAGAGAGAAATAACAAATAAAGAATTTTAATTTATTTAATCGCTCCGTTTATGGATCACTTGGCGGGCAACTTTTGAAGCGGACACCCTCGTTCCACACTGCTCCCTCTTTAGAATCTCGGGGAACCCTCAGTTCTCGATGGATTCCACAGACCATGTAACATGATCCACTTAAAGCTAACTTATCAAGTTCTTCTGCTGCTCGAATGCACTTAGCGCTTTTCCCCTTCGTCCGATACTCTCCTCTCATACTATAGATTGGGCTATTCGCATATTATTCATGTGTCCAATACAACCAGTTTTTCTAGTCCCTCTTTGTTTTGCGTTGCAACATGCCTTGTGCCCCCTTTAAGCGGTTGTCGTTGGTTTTTTTTGTCGCAGCTGGCCACGCTTGTAAATATTGTCTCGAAAGACAATTGTTTATATATTTTGTATATATTTGTGTATTGTAAAAGCCAATGGAAGAGAGAGAGGGAAAAGTTTAAGGTTGTTTCCATTGAGCAAGAAGTGAAAGGGCTTGTCGGAATAAACGGTATTGATACCCTAAATGGGCGGAATGCTCAATGAATCACTATTATTGGACCTTTGCCTTAAGGGTTTTTCACCTTGGTTTGCATTCGGGTTGTGTTTTGCTTCGCTAACTGATGGGGTAAGCAATGAGTTGGCTTGCACTTTTGAAATGATCAATAACAGCTTTTAAATCAAGGCGTTGCCTTAAAGGTTGGTTTTAAATGATCTCACAAAATCGAAACCTTGCTTGTGCAGGGGGAACAGTTTTATTAATTGAAAACTTGTATCTTGAAAGGGGATTTTTGTCTTTACGATGTATTCAGAGCATATCGAATTTTACGCCTTGTAGGTTGAGTCAAGTTCAGTTATTGCCGCCCCTCTTCGCACATTTAATTACACATTTTTACGCGCACTTACTGATATCTCGGGGCGCTTTGGGCCCCACTTTCCCCGCCACAATTTTTCTTTCTTTTTTTTCACCCGCTCTCTCTTTCTGGCTGACAATTCACGGCTGTGTTCGGCCTCGTGCACGCTAATTCCATTATAACAATTGATTTCATTGTGCAATCATGGGCTGAAATTGCAGGTACAACAGCAACACAGCAGCATCTATAACAATGGCTCACAGTTCATCGCATTTTGCGGTTGATGGATGAGTAAAAAAAAGTATCTCAGCACAGGTAGCAGATAAAATTGTATCTTCATAGCCTTCGGCTGAGTCAGCGGGATAAAAATGTTAACTAAATTGTCAGCGAGGCTTTGAATTGGTTGCATTTTTGTTAAAAACACAAAACACTTATTAACTTTCACTCTGTTGGGCAAACGCACCTTTGTATCTTTTTTATGCGTGTTTTGTGCACTTTTCTTTTGCAGTTTTGCGGTTTTGGTGGGGCTGTTATTTTTTTGTTTTCTTTTTAGCGGGGTCTTAGCACCAATTTTTCTTTTCGCGTGGCAATCTTCTCCGGTTCGTTTCGGATTCCGTCCCTCGAATCGCTCGATGTTCCCCGCAAGAAAGCCGCTTTGCAACTAATTCTTCGCTGCGAAGACAGCAGCTCTCTTTCTCGACTGGCTCTCTGGGTTTGCACGTGCTGTGGATCGTATTTCGAATACCCTCCACATGGGGTTTTCTTTGCTCTGATCGCTCTATAGGACCCGAATCGCACTCTCTCTTTGCAAACAAAAAGCGGTTTGTTGTCGTCAATAAAAAATGTTAATTGAAATTACATTTTTTGTCTGGTTTTCATATGAATTTCTTCGGATTCTTATTCTTACTTTCTTACCTGCAAAAATGTTCGTCATATCGCCGGGGTTTTTGAACTGCACTAATGATTTTTTATGGGGGTCGCACTTTCATTGCTTAACGACTAGTGACTTCATATTCTCTGCGAATCTGAAATGCAAATCGGGCCCGGGGTCTAAGTATAATGTGTGATGGCCCCTTTTGTTGAGGTGAGTGACGAGGTGAACCCACTATTTCCAGTTAAACTTGACACCTTATTCGAGGCGGATTATGCCCATCACGTGCCATGATCCAGCACTTTGCTATGCGCCATTTATACGGGTTTGGTTGCGGAATGCGAAAGTGCAATAGATACGGGCACCTACATCCGTAAATGGGTGATAAATGGGCAAATAAATTGATAGAATCGGTTCATACTTGTGTTGGGTATGATTTCACAAGGCTTACGTTTTTGCAATCTTAAATAAGCTGAAAATTTCTTGCTCTTACAGATGTCAAGACGTTAATCTGAGGAAGGAGTATGTAAATCTGGTTGAATCAGTTCGGGATGCTGGAGGAGAAGTGAAGATCTTTTCCAGCATGCACATCTCAGGAGAACGTGAGTATAGAACACCTATTAACAACATTTCCGAAAAAAAATCTTATGTTATCCCAAATATCGGAAGGAATATCTTTAAAAACTAACAAGAAAAACTGTTATATACATATCTATTTGTGCTTTACAAGATAAAACCAGAAATATTCGATTACAATTTTTGAAAAATGTTAATTTTCAGCGTTTTTGAAAACTAGAATGAAGCTATCTACTGAGTCATAAAGAAGTGCTGAGAGAAACTTCTTTAAGCAATTAATTAAGTTACATGTTAGAGATCGGACCACTTGCATCAGATGTTTAACAAAAATAGAAAAGATTTGAATCCATTAGAGCATTTTTTAACCTTGTGCTGAGAAGATCTCGGCAACTTCTTCATCTCGTATATAGAAAATAAACTCACCATGACTCATAGAGCGAGAAGAAACTTCCCTTTCATGACAAGAATAGATCATCTCCAGCAGAAACACATTTACATCACACTTGTTCCACCTTTGGCCATTTCTATGCTCAATTTGAATGTTCATGTGCAGGCTGCCTTCCTCTGTCTAATGACCTCGTTAAAGATTCTATTTTTAAGACCCCCGATGCAATGCTCCTCTACCCGTAAACAAATATTGTATACATGTGCGGGCATACATATGTGTATTTCTTGGAGGAGTCCCCCACATTACAAAGTCCACTATGAGATGAGTAGAAAACATCATCATTGAATAGTTGCCAAGTAGTTTTTGCTAGCTCATTCGGAAGGAAACTTTCGATTTCATTTTCGTATTCAATTTAGAATTAATTACAACTGCATCTCACATATTGCAAATATTTTCGGGGTGTTAAGTGCTTAAAAGCTTTAAATAGCTACTTTCAGGTGACTCATGAGATGCGATTCCTTCTTCGAGTTTCTTTTTTGAATTGTCTGAGACCCGAGACTTGGCAAGATTTTCGTTTTCAACTCGAAAATGGGTCGCTGGGGGTTCCAAAATAGATCCCCCCATACGTTGTAGGTTTTGCAACAAATCGAGTTTTTTGTGGTTTTTTCTGAAGTACTTCCCTTTCTTATCTACTTGCAAGTATTTATTAAGCCATTGTAGCCGGCTGAGCACTTTTATCAGTTTTAAATTACACAAGTATGTATAAACAAGTAAGCGACTTGTGTAAACAGAACCAAATTTAAGAGATAAAGGGGTTTGACAATTCGGTACTTGAGTAATAAAAATTGTGTTTCTCCTGATACAAAACCTGCATTAATCCCGAGGTAATTGGGCAAACCCATGAATTTTTAATGTGCACTCTGGCCGAGTTGAATGTGAAGTTCACTCCATGAGTCATGGCCTAGAACAACCGGTGAACCTTGGGATTGGACAGCAGGAACGCCCACAACCTGGGTAAAAAGTGAAAAAGTTGCATGGCCTGTTGCAGTTCTGAGATTCAAAGTTCTCTAGCATCAAGTATTGATGGTTTAAGTCTTTGTAGTCTACTTAAAATTCTGGTTTTCAGATTCAGATAACAGGATTCAGTTGGTTCTCCTCTTGTAACCCTGACAATTACTTCCATAACAAAGTGCACTGAATAAGCCCTATCTTCTCCCTACAGAACTGGCTCAACTGACTGGAATTGCGGCCCTCCTGCGTTTCCCGATGCCTGAACTGGAGGACAGCGATGATGATGATGACGAGGAGGGAGCGGCGGGCGGAGCAGCTAGCGATAGCGACTAGGTCGATAAATAGGATATAATCACGAAAGAAGCTCGGTGGAATCTTGGCATTTGTTACGGAAATAATTGACTTAGGAACTCAACTAGCGATCGATATACAAGTAGACTAATAGGAACCACGACAGACTTGGACGTCAGGGCATATACAATATACATAGTGCTAATTCGATACGATATACACACAATTATTGTTTAAGTTATCCCGTGGCTGGGCCTAGAAATTCGTAGTCAGAATCCCACCATTTTCTGGACTGGAAGAAGCCACTCAAAAAAAAATTATGTTCTACACTTTGTGTTCAATGAAATGGCCACAATAATGATAGGGTTTATTGCTTGATTTATACCCCAAACGAAATTGAGTTGCTGTTGACAGCCGCGTTTATGGTTATGTCAATTAGTTTATAGAAATTGAATGCCTTCTTTGCTCTTAAATTCATTGTTCACTAATTTTTAAAGTCCAACATATAGTTTACAAAAATATACAACCGAAATATATTCGATGTAATTATTTATTTATATATTTTCATTGTTTATATACAAGATTTTATCCATCTTCAGAAGAGAACTCACATAATGTTGTTAAACTTAATAAGAATTGTAATTATTATTTTATGCTGTGAACATAAAATTTTGTTAAACTTTACTAGTTGATACAAAATGTAATTATTTCCAATGCTGTAAAATATAAAATCCTTCTGAGCAAATTGTAAAATAAAACTATTCAAAAAACTCATCTACCTGAATTTTCCATTCGTACTGTAAGAAAAAATATGGCTCCAGTGCAAAATAAAGAAGATTTAATATGGATTTATTTTACATTTTCATTGTTTATTGTATTAAACCTAAATCAAGACACAGAACCCCCCGAGCCGATGGTCGGCTCACTTGCCCAGCTTGGAAGCCTTGGCAGCGGCGGCCGCCGCCTCCTTGCGTGCCTCACGCTTGGCCGTTTTCCGGGCCTCCTTGTTGTCGGCCTCAATGGTTCGTCGCTTCTTGCGCAGCAGCCACTCCTCCTTCTCCTTGGTCTGCTTCTCGCGGATGAGTTTCCGGAAGAGGTTGCGGTGACGGGGCTTCACCATACGCGCCTGCAGGCGGTGCTCGTCCACTTCGGCCTTGTGCACCTGTCGCTTGTTGACCTTGTGCACCTTGCCCGACTGCACGGACATCTTTTGCTTCTCCTCCTGCAGGCGCTTGGTCTTCTCGTCGACCTCTTCCTCCTCCTCCTCTTCATCGTCGTCGTCTTCCTCATCGTCATCCTCTGGATCTTCCTCGTCTTCGTTGACGCCATCGGGACCGCCGTACTTCTTGTACTCAGCCGTTTCTTGCTGGTAGGCAAGCTGCAGCTGCGCATCCAGCAGCTCCTGGTCCACGGCCTCCTCTTCCTCCTTCTCGGCTTCATCCTCGGAATCGTCATCGCTTTGTGCTGCAGAAGAAAGAAGCATTAAATTGAGTGTTCAAAATGTCAGCTTGAAAGATTTCCCTAACTTACCATGTGTTTCGATCAGGGAGGGATCCAGTAGGGCCTTCTCCTCGGGTGGGATGTAGGTGTCCCTCTTGGAGTCGACGAATGGCGACAAGTGTGGCGGCAGAGTCTCGCCCAAGAAGTACTTGTTGGTGGGCAGCAGCGTGCGCTGATTGACGCAGTCGAAGACCCACTGAGGCTGTATATAGTCTCGCGAGATGTACTGCGTGGCCAGACTGGGTCTGTCCACGATCTGATGGGTGATGGTCTCATCAGTTTCATCGTAGGCAGAGCCAGCGAAGATGGACGAGTCCCAAGACACTTTGCCGCCGAAAGAGCGGATGAGGATGACCAGGGGCTCACGGGGAACTTCGCGGTTAATGAAGAACTTCAATCCCTTGAAGAGGGTGCGCAGACGGGACACTTCCTGAGCCTCCTGCTTCATCTTAATGATGCGCTTTGAGTCGCCGTCCTGCTCCAACAGCTCCATGTCGATGTCCAACTCCTCCTCATCCTCCTGCACCTTGTCCGTGCGCAGCAGATCAAAGTTCAGCGCTGCAATGCGATCAGACACGAAGCTGGCTTCGTCCTTCAGCGAGTCCTCGCTGTCCTGAAGCACACTGCTCGGGAACTGTGGTGGGTAGGCCAGATTCAGGCCATGGAACAGCCGGAAGTTGGTGAAGCCCAGCATAATGGTGTAGAACTCCACGAAGATGGACATCACCTTGAAGTCCACCTCCTGGCGGGACTGTGGCTTGAAGGGATAGTAGTGTGGCACAATCCAGGTGACCTTCTGGCCCTTGATCTCCGCCTGGAAGTAGTAGCCCTTGATGGAGATGAACACCTTGCGCAGCGACTTGGAGGCGATTACGTAGTGCAGGAACTCAATGGTCAGCCGGCGGCAGAGGTTAGACTGCTCCCTGGGGATCAAGTGCAGCGAGGGGAAGGTGCTGAACAGGAAGAGCAGGGTCAGGCAATCGTCCAGGTCCTTAAGGGCATCGATGAAGGTGGGGTAGCGCTCCTTCACAATGTGATCGAGTTTGATTTCGGGAAACAGGGCCAATCGTCGCTTCAAGTTGCGGAAATCCTTGATGGCGCGATCGCGATTGCTCTTCTTGGCAAAGATCTGCGGGATATTAGGAATGGATAATTAAATCTGGGGTAGACATACATGCAGCCAAGAGATAACGTACCTTATAGTCACGAAGCGTCCAGACAATCGACTCGTGCAGCAGGAAACGAATGTCCTTTGTGTGGTAGAGCACCTTGATCTCCGAAGATCCCTTCTGGGCCCTACGCCTGTGTTTGGGTTCCCTGGGATAGACGCCCTTCAGGATGCACAGCCTCCGGAAGTCGTTCAGGGAGAGTTGAAGCTTCCTAAGCGCAGCCCGCCGACTAATGTACTGCGTGGCCTCACCGGATTCGTACTAGAAGTGGTTAAAAATATTGATATTCAGCAAGTCCCAACACACATAACCTTAAAGGGTCTTGTAAACACCCTAAAACCATCGAAACTCACCTTCTTCGGTCGCCTCATTATGCCGGTTTATGAAAATTCTTTTTTTGTCAAGCGGAATCTGCCTTTAACAGATTTATTTAAAATAAAACACGCAGTTCACCAAAACACACGTTTTTTGTGTTGTTGGGCGCGTGGAAAGGAATTAGTATACTGTCCGGGCTTTGGTAAATAATCTTTTAGTACAATTATTGAATATAGTCAAATATACCAAAAATAAGGTCTGTATAAAGTGGTGAGAGGGTGCCACGGCTAAGTTAGCAGGGACATCGTTCAAACACTTTTGCGAACGGACACTTTAATAAGTTGGGAGGTTGTCCTTGCTAACTTAGCCGTGTCACCCTCCCAATATTTTAAAGTGACCGTTTGCGGTATAGCGCGTACATACACCTATCGATAGACTTTGGGCCATCTCTAATTGCCAAATTGATTGTTTTTGGCAAGTAACGGTAATTTAAAAATAACAATTTAAGAGCAAGTTGCTAACGGCTTTTGATAATCTTGTTGAAGAACCTACATTTAAATTCCATTTGTTACATTAAAATGTATTCGACGGTTGCATGAGTGCATTCAACCCGAAAACTCATTGTACACTTTTTTCTGTACTTATTATTGTAAATATGTCTGAATGCTGCATTTTTGACGAGGACTGACTGACATTGTACATTACATTGGGAATAGTGGTTTTCGGTGATTTATGCAGCAAATTAAATTTTACAATAATTACAGAGCAAGCTGAGTGACTGTATACTGTTTCTAAAGTGCTGTAGGTTGCAGTATTATTTTAAATATATTTAATATAATACCTAATAAACACAAAGCTAGAAGGAAGCGACGTCGTTTTTTTACTATTTACTATTAAATTATGTTCGCAATAACGATATCGGTTGCCACCAGCGTAGCGCACATTAATTGTGGACACGTAAAAATCAAAAAGGCCTGAACCATTGTAAAAACTACGTTTTTTTAATAATTCTGTTACTTCTTATCGATATTTCAATCACCGATACACGCCAACAGCAATGTATTATGTATCAAAGAGAGGTACTATTATTACGCTCTTTTTTACTAATCATGATGCAAACATTTTTGCGTAAGAATTCCATTGAGGTATGATGAGGTTTCAAGTTGTTCTGCTAAAGTCCGCTAATTGTTCGATACAACTTCCGAGAATGTTCTTTTACTTTTCTTTTCTTCTTCAGAGTACAATTTTAAAAACATCAGTGTTTATTTTTGACTATCGATGTTTCTGGGCCCACCACTCTTTGGCGTTTCGGGATTTATTTGGGAAGAAAATGAATTTGGACTGCAACGGCGTCTTTATAAGGCGCGGAACTGAACAATAAATCTCATCTTGAAAGAAATATTGCAATGCTTTTTTTTTTACGAAAACGACCAACCTCTAGATTTTGTCCTTCCTAACAAGACCTGGCACTAGTTGCACAAAAACGTACATTATTTATCTACAGAAAAAGCCATTTGAAGCAACTGAGTTTGACCGTCCTCTCTCATCGAATACGGTGCTAATTCAAATTAAAAAAAAATACAACAAATTTGTCATGAACGTACTTAAAACTCAAAACACCATGCCCGCACACCAAGTACGAGTCGATTTTTCGTATACAAGTGTTGCCAAGTGTCAAATTGTTCCTATAATAGGTGTTAATTTAATGACCTTTGTATCAGAGATTTATTGACAGTCATTAGGATCACATTGACACCTGAATAAGGGCATATGGATAACTATTTTTTTGGATGTATAAATTTGTGGCTTAAATTTGTTTGACCATTTGAAATGCACAATTCCATCTGGTGTATACTTCTTGAAATAGACTGTATGCTTTGGTACCCTTTGCTTACTTAAATTTTTCGTAAGGCTAAAGTGCTACTTTTGAAAACTTACAATCCTATTGCATTTAAACAATACATGCTTTATTAACTCTTCGTCCAAGCAATCTTGGTACACTAAGTTAAGGCAGTGAGTTAAGCTTAGAAGGTGCGGGTTCTGTAAAATTTCGGACAACTTTGTTGTTGCGCTATTATTGTCTGTCACGATGGCGATTACTTTGGACTTTAATATCCAGTGGAAGAGCACAACTTGAACAGATGAAGATTTTTTATTAGAATTGCGATCAGTTTGTCGTCCATCAGTTTTTTAGTTGATAGTACAGCGGCTTTCAGCTTGAAGACGTCACTTATGAAGTGCACTGTAACTGCGAGGTAGCTATCGTTGGCCCTCGACGTCCAACCATCCATCGTACTGACACAGTGGTCAAATTTGCTAAGAATAAGTTGGAGATTAGCTGTCATATCGCGTTACTTATTTTTCATGTGGATAATGGTAGTAAGAAAATAAAGGTATAAAATAAGTGTATTATTAAAATTATAACATTTTGTAAAAGTAGTGGTGCGTGTATGACGGCTATACAATCGCGATCGTTTTCAAACATGTGCAGGTGTCTCCTTACCATCGATATTATCGATAATACAATCGATAGTTTGCCAGTTTGAGTGATAGCATAAAACCGAAAAAATAAATAATATAATAAAAAATAATTAAAAACAACATTCAAATTTAAATTACAAACGTTGAATTACTTGCTGAAGATTTTTAATTGCATTATAAAAACCTTGATCGATTTAAATTTAGGAGAAAAGGAAAAAGTGGTAGTATAACGAATAGAGCCATGATGCAATTGACATAAAATTAACAACACTCGCCCAGTGCCATTGGATAACTCATTTTATTGAATCTGTTTTTATTGTTTTTTATAGGTATTGTATTGAGAAAATAACATACAGTCTAAGTTTGTTGTATTATATAATATTCGTTATATATTAGTTAGTTTGAACATTAACTTCGTTTTTTGTTTTCGCAACCTGCTTACTTGCAGACGCATTTCGTTTTGCTTTCTTTTCTTGGTTGATAACAAAAGTTTATTAAACGGCCCTTTCTCGTTTGCTGCGGCTCTGCTACAACTCAACTCTGCTTTTTTGAACATTCGTGTCCTTGTGTCGTGTTCGAGTGTCTGCTTGAGTAATTCTTCTGAGCTTTCAAAGCCTTGTTAACGGTTCGATGTAAATGTATTGTATCTGCATATGCATTTTCATCTGCATCTGAGTGTGGTTTGTTGTATATTTCACCTAAATAACTAGTTAACATTTCGGTTTATTCGCTATAGCTTCGTTTTGATTTACATAAGTTTTGGGGGGGCTTTTTCACCCCACTCTATTCAGCGCCTCTTCCAGTTTACGATCCTTAAAATGCTTTATATAACTTCATATACTTTTGTTTTATATATATATCGTGAGTGCCAGCCATATATGTTTGCATGTATCGTTAGAAATTGACTATATATTTGATTTGCTTTTACTCCTTGCTCCATTTTGATGATATCTGTTAACTAATGCGTCTGCTGGGGAGTTTGGTTCGGTTCGGTTAGGGTTTTTACTTTTTTTGAATGACTGCGTGTTTCTGGGTGTGTTTTGTATAAAATCTAAATGTCGTTAACTAGACGTACTTGTATAAAGTAAGTAACTCGCTGTATTACACCATATGTATTCATCATTCGAGCTCTCTGGTTCGCCACAAAGATAAAGTGAGCTAGGGGAGGGGATATACTTCCTTTGATGACTAAGAAAATGGGTTTATATTTAGACTGGATCAACTGAACATCTGACCGACTGTAACTCCCTTTTTCGTTTTCTTTTCATGGTTTATCGCATTATTCATATAAATCATTTGTACAATCTTATGTGCTAGAAGCGTATCGGTTGTTAAAATTAATGTCTGTTATTATAATACTCTCATTGTTCGCTATTAAAATTACACACCCGTCTGCACTATCGATCGGTCCGCTTGTGTTTTTGTCTCGAAAAAATACACACTTGTAAGGTAAAATTCAAAATTACAACGATCTAAACTCAACAACGGAAAATATACATATTTTGGTGGGTAATGATAACTGTATTACACACGACGGCTATATGTTCACGCGCTATATCTGCTGACATCCGATGCCGATCGGCTGATCGCTGGCATTACAAATAATAAACGCATTCGGTTTATACACTTATAAATTTGAAAACGCTATAAAATCTTTAAATTAGTCTACCAATATGTTAACTATTACTTTTTACTGGATTTCATATATCATATTTGCTTCATATTCGCATTCTCGTTTAATCGGTAATCGTTTGGTTTCCTCACATCGAACGAAAAATCGAAATCAAATCGAAGCCGCTGGCAACTGACTGACAATTTATTGTTTGCTGTGTTTCTCTGTCTAAACAACGGACGCAACTTGAAACGGTCTCTAAATATTGTAAATATAATCGAATATAAGTATTGCATACATTGCATTTCACGTGTTCTATTTGTATTCGTAATCGTATTAAGTATTAAAAAAGTAATCCACTTGGAGCGCGCGATCGCACAGACACGCTATATGCTATATGGTATATGGTACATATACTGGTTTATAAAAGTTAATAAATATCCGCGTGTTCCATATACGGTTTAGGTCTAGTTCGTAGATTATTTAAAGCTGAAATTAATGATTATGTGCTCGTTCGTTTATACTCGTAGACGTTATGTGGTATATCGGTAATTCTTGATCAAGACGATTGTTATAGGTGATTGACTTGAGAGCGTGATTAGTATTAGGCCAGATCAGATCTCTAGAAATGCTTCCGAATGGTCTGTGCTTGTGTTTGCTAATTTTATTTGAAAACATCGAACATTGAATATCTAATCATGCCAATTACGTTTAAAAAACATAGGAATCAATTGGGTATACTTACGGTTGATTTTTCTGCAAACTCAAAATTTGGTTGAGGACACAAAATTAGCAAACACAAAATTCTTTTAGGTTTTTTTGTTTTTTTTTTTTGTAAGTTTACTTTTTTCACTTTAATTTCAAACAATGATTTTTATTTTCATAGTTAAATATTTCATAAAGTATATATAGCATTACTATATCTTTCGATTCGATTTGGTTTGTTCGGTTTCGTTTTATCTTTATTATTATATCCTTCCTTACGCTTCGTTTATGTTTTATGAACGCTTTTGCTAATGTTTCAACAATTTTTTTGTGTTTTTGTTTCACTTTTACTTTTTACGCAATTATTCAACTTGTTAAAAATCTATAACCATAACAATTTCATATATATATATATCTGTATATATATATTTCTTGTATATATTTCCTCTTATTTACGTTGCTTTAAAGCGAGACTTCTACGCCACTCGACAATTTTGTGTGGTGTGTGTGCGTTGTTGGTTGATGATTTTGGATGGAAAGGAGGGGGAGATTCGGATGGATAAGGATTTTCTCAATGGAGGATCGTTTATTGCGTTTCCTTTGATTTCTTGATAAGCCTTTAAGGGTTTTTTGGTGAGAAAAGTTCGCCGAAAAAATCCTTTCGTTTCAAGTTTCTTATTCTGTTGGTTTCTCTGGGATTTTTTGGTTTGTGTACCTTTTTAGACAGAAGAGTGGGCGCGATATGTTTGTATGTATGATAGATTAGATGTGAGTGGGTGTGAGTGAGGGAAATCTTCAGTACAAGTAATTGCTGGGTGTGCTTTTCCATTTTCTCGTTATTAGGTTCTAATAAGATGTAGTTAAGTGTGAGTGTTTCGTTCTCAAGTATTTTATTTTTATATAATAAATATGACTTGGTTTTAAAGTTAATTTGGAAGATATTTTTTTAAGGTTTTCTTTCTATTCGATTTAGTTTTTTGGTATCCTTGTTGTCTTTAGTTTAAACATACAGCATGTATAAAAGTTTAAGTTAATTTGTTGTTTGTTCTTGGAAGTTGTCTCTGTTAAAGCCTGGCGACCGAGGCAATCTACTCGTGAGAAGTGAGCTTGCTAGTTGGGATATATACGATACAGGGGCGTATACATTAATACAGAAGGACGAAAGTCGACACTTTTGGAATTACGAGCTACGATGAGAAACGCATGGAGTGGCTGAGAGGAAAAGTATGGATAAGGTAGAAGAACTTTAAAAAGGTAGTGGATACAGATTAAACCTAATTATTAGAAGAAGAAGCTTAATTAAGGAGTAAGAATCGATTTAAGGATATTTAGAAAGTAAGGAAAAGGCATAGGTTATAGTAGGGACAATAAAGTGGTCCTAAACAAGTATAGAGAACACTGAAGGTCTGCTTACGACAATAGGTAAATTGGTATTTATAAGATACACTTTTTAAGGATATGCCAATATAAATTATAGGGAAATTTAGGCCTTCTCAGCCAACTCTAAGCTGGATTAGTACAAGGGCTGCATTTAGGCATATGAAGTGATGTGGAGTCTTCTGTGTGGAGAGGGCATGACCTGATGTAAGCCTCCTTCGAGTTTTATACAATGTCTCCGCCTCGTTCCCTGACAATCCTCTCGCTCCCTGCTCATTTCCTGGTCTGCTGTTCGGCTGTGACCTCTGACCCGTCCATATCCTACATGCATATATTATATTATCAATTATATATATACTCGTATATTTATATCTGTGTGCAATTGAATGCACTGCACCCATGGGGTGTAAGAGCAGCCACTTAGTTACGTTAATTCTGCATTTGCATCTGCACATCGCATTGTTCAGCAGATACAGTATATAATTTTGCGAATGTGAATGCATATATAATTATTTCCGATGCGTTACCACTGCTGAGCTGACTTGGCCTCAATGTACGGTTTTGGGTCTCGATTTTCGCATTTCGCAGTGAGATTTTCGCATGTCGTACATCTAGGACAGTATGCTTACAGTGCGATGCCACTGCTGAATCCTCTAATTTCACTGGTAATAAAAATTATTGCTTTCTGTTCTGAGTGTTAACGTGTGTGTGCTTGTATCTGTATCTTGTATTCTGTATCTGTATCTGTGTTCTGTCGCTTCCTTAACTTGACTGCGAGCCATATGCAAACGTCTGGATATCCGTTAGATACATTGCCTACTTAAGTATAGTTGCGTATATATATAGTAAGTTATCTTCTGGTATATATAAAATATATATATTTATATATGTATGTTTATAATTAGGTGTATATATGTATGCGTTTTATGTTAAATTATTTGGGTTTCTTTTCCATTTGCATTTCATCGGTTTTGCGGCCACTTGGTTTTACGAGTTTAGGGTTTTAGTTTAGAAAAATGTTACGTACCTTCTAAATAAAGAGAGCAAGTTGATTTTGTTTCATATTTCGTTAAATATCGTCTTAAATGTCGTTTATATATAAATACGTTAATATGCTCATATATATGTACTTGGGGGACTTCATTAAGCAAAAAGTATATGAAATTAGTTTTTGGTTTTTTTTTGTTTTTTCTTTTAGTAGGCTTCGTTTTTGTTTTGGATTTGAAGTAGTCTATAATAAATATGGCTTCAATTTAAAGTTAAATTTAAACTCTGCTCCTCCTAAACGCCAACGTGAATCAGAATTGGAATTAGGACTAGAATCGGGATCAGAACTAGAATCATAATCATAACTAGAATTAGAATTAGAATTAGCATCGGACTGGAATCAGTGTAATCGATAATCATAATGTCCTGGTCTGGATGTATGGCAAATGCTTTTTAGCAAAATATTTTAAGTATGCCCTACATTCGTTTCGATTTAGTTTTGAATTCGAGTATAATTGTAGCTTACTTTGAGAGTTCTCGATTTGTTCGTTTGCTTGTTCAATAAGTACGCAAATTATCACTTAATCAATACAGGTCAATATATAGTATGCCATGTAAGTGTGCGTGTGAGTGGGTATATAAGTATAATGTATATAAGTCGTAAACTAGATAGAGTTTTTAGATAGGCTCTGGATAAAGCTTTTAGGAGAAATCTTAGTAGAGCACGCAAATGAAAGGCTTCTGCTCGATCGATCGAAACGAAAGAGCTCAACACAAAACTTGGAGGCTGCATTCCATTATCGTATCGTATCGTATCATATCGTTTCGTATCGTATCGTATCATATCGTACCGTATATAGGATATAGGGTGCCTTGTGCCGAGATAATCATATATATTTGTTGATACATACTTTTGCTGGTTTTCTTATGCCTGTAGTTAAAACCCAAACGTTAGGTAGATACATAGTTAGTAAGTGGTTGGGAAGCCATTGTCGTGTTTCCTTCTCGCTAGTTTGTTAATAGGTCATAGATACATAGATACGATAGTTGGGAGCAAAGATTCGTAGAGTTAAGGATTGGAGGGGGCTGCTTGCGTTAAAAAGCTGCGCTAAACACTTTAAAGTAAATGTCTTTCGAAAAAGAAACGCTGGCACTAACTAACTCGCATTTTGTTAACGTTAAGTTTTCGATTTCGTTATTTTTCATAACCGCTTTCGCATGTGTGTTCGTTTGATTTAATTTGGTTTGGTGGTGTTGTGTATCTGTGAGTGAGTGAGTCTGTGTGTGGCGGTGTATTTGTCTGTTTAACAATTCGATTATTTAGCTTTAGTCCACTGTTAATTAATTTGTTAATCATTAATTAATTTGCTTGTATATAATTTAGCTAATTGGGTGTGAGACTGACGGGGTCCACGTCTCGATTCGTCCTCGGCGGCATCCAGACATCCTTGGTATGGAATCCTTGGTGGCTTTGTAGCTTGGTAGCTCCATCTCGATGGCTCGACTGCTACCCGGAACTCGGTAACTGTTGACCACTTTTGTCTTTGCCCCTGCCCTTTAAAAGGGGCAGGTGATCACGTCGTATTCGAACATCAGCGACACGGCGACAAAGGCAAAATACAACAGAAACATGGTGAAGCCCAACCCCTTGTTCATGCGCCAGCGGAAGCAGGCGATTGACATCACCACGAACACCAGCATCATAAACAGGATGGTTATGGAGCAGACCATGCCCACCGAGTTCACCTCCACGGGCGCCCCGTAGATGATTCCGTAGAGCAGCCACGGTATCGGCAGGCTGGCGGGTATGGTAATGAATGGTAATGGTAATCAGCACCGGTTAGTTACGCTCGACAGGATTGGCCCAAAAGCCAGGAGCCGACAATGGCCCACTACTCACCCCACGGTCACGTCGAATATGTTGCTGCCCACGGAACTGGACACGGCCATGTCGCCGAATCCCTTGCGTGCCACTATCACCGAGGTAATCAAGTCCGGAATGGAGGTGCCCGCCGCCAGGAAGGTCAGACCCATGACCTATCCGGGAAAGAAGTGGAGGGTAAAGGGTTAATCAGCGGCGGAAACAGGAAAAGCGCACAGCTCATACAAAAAAACTTCTTATGAACTAGCTTAACAGACATAACTTGCATTTTGCTGTCACCTTATTTTCAGACAACTAGTCTATCGGAAAATATGAGTAGTTTCTATGTTCGAAATATTTAGTTAAAAAAACCTTATGGTTTTTATTTATTTTATTTTAAATGATCTATAAGAACCATATGGCTAATGGATCTACCAACTTACGGACTTGTTTAAAAAAGCCATGATAACTTATAGAATATCTGTATTTGTGAACTTCAAAAGTTTTCAGCTGTGGACCATTTTTTGTTAATTTTGCAATGACTTTTTATAAGATTGCCATGACTTTTTATAATAGATAGAAAGTAAGTCTAGGCTTAAGCAAGTGTCTTATGGCCATAATTTAATAATAAAAAATTAGAATTAGAATTAGATGAATAAAGACGATTTACCTTCTGATATTCTAATAAAAATATTAAAGTTATCAACAATTTTTAGGTAATAATATATTTACCTAAAGTTAAAATTCCCTCCAACTATCTTTATAGGCTTAAAAATATAATTTTTTTAAAAATCATTTTAGGTCTAAATCTTTAAGATTTTGAGTATGCTGCCCAATAAGGGGTATTTATTCTTATATAGAAAACATTTAGGTTCCTTGAAATTAATTTCTAGCACTAAGACTACTTTAAGCTTAGGAACTTATAAAGCTATTTCCAGACTATTTGGTTTGGTGAGTGTACCTCGGGCGGAATGCGCGCCGTGTCGCCGGCCACGTTGGCCCACCAGACCATCAGGTAGGAGAAGGCCGCTATCCACACGATGGAGCCGATGAAGGTGACCGGAAAGAAGCGCTTGCCGCGGGGCGTCCGCGTGTCGGGCAGTGTGAGCCACATGGGCACCAGGAGCGGGGCCACCAGGACGTAGGTGAGCCGCTTTCGCGCCGTGTCCGGCCAGGCCATGCTCAGGGGTTCCGGCTCATCCTCGATTTCGGGCGCCTTTTGGTCAAGGCAGAGGAAGAGATTGGCGATTAGGGACTTGGACCGAACTCGACTGAATTCTGTTAGTATTTAGCCGTAGTATATGGGTATATATATAGGTATATATCATATTGAATATGTAATACGGAATTTGTTGTATAAAATATATAGTAAAAATGTGGGTGTGTGGCTTATGGTGTGGGTGAGTGGAGCGGGGCTCGCTCGCCAGTGGTTGAAGGTGGTTGATTGATTTCGAGGTCGGGTTCTGAGGTGGAATGCGTTTTGAGCTATGTTTACAGATGGTCATGAGTCGGTTACGGGTAGCATTTGTCATAGTACAAATTTTGCTTCGCTTTCGGGTTTTGCAATTAGATTCGAAAGATGTTGTCTGGTTTTTTTTTCGGTTTGGTTGGGTTTTATTTCTCTGGCGGGAACTCGCAGACAGGCGTTTAGAGCTTGCTTGGCGGGATCTAAGTGGTTTCGGTGTCGGTTCGATCAAGATACTTAGTGTGGTTCGAGTTCAAAGGGGTGCACTTACTTTCTAGCAGGACTACAATTACGATACGATACTGATTTGTGCTCAGAGAGATGGTTAGACTTAAAACGTGCAGAGTTCTATCAGCATCGCAGGTACAGTGGTACTACATTGGTGCATTGGTACAGTGGGCATGCTCAAGTTAGACTTGCAAGTGCAACAACACACAGACACAGTCTACAAGGTCGATCAATCGTGAACAAAAGTAGAAAGTAAAACTGGTTAAAAAGATGTGCCTAAGACTAGGTTTCATATCACTAGGGTTATTGCTACTCGAAGTATACGTGTGTTTTACACTGAAGCAATAATGTGTGTTTTTCTTGGGTTATTGGGTGACGATTCTCAGAAGCTTTGCAAATGCAACAACTAAGTGGAAATTTATATGCGGTCTACACTCCACGCTCCTGGCTAGTAACTTAAGATTCCCAACTATTTCAAGTGTATTTCATTTTAATTTTTCAAAAGCGCAAAGATATGGGTTAGTCATTGAGGGGGCTGCGGTTTTTGGACTTAGTGTTCTGGGCATTTATGATTAATCATCATTCAGCTTGAAGTGATTCCATTTACGATATTCGATACTGTGCGGAACATGTACCCGGATTTTTATAAAATTGACTGATCAATCACACTATTATCAGTAATATAATTTTTTTTATTTTATGTATTTGTTTCGAGCTATTCGCTTTTCATTCAAAAATAAAAGAATGGGATTTTAAATTCATTTTTTGAATATGAATAACTTTATCATCAAGGCCACTGCCAAGGAGCTTTTGTGTACGACTCGCGTGCAATTGTCTGATATTTTCTTTGTTACTGAATATAAATAAAAAAGTATATTTTCTTCGTTTACGATATATTTGTTGCAGAAAATTATAAAGATTGTATGCAATATATAGAAGAGCGAAGATAGATAGATATAGAGAGAAAGATAGGTAAAGAGAGATCAATAAAAATTGTTCATGAAACTAACTTTGATGCTAAATTTGCGTGTCTGAATTTTGACCCTCTGCTCAATCCAGCTAGGACGTCGACCACTCAACGATGGCTTTTGGTTGATTATTCAAGATACATTATAAATTTTTATGACAAGAATTTTTGGGAGAAGAGTACACATTTATAAGTATATATAGTGATTTGAAAACATAAAGTTTTGGATCTCAGGGCCAAGTCCTCAGAATCAGATCAGTTATGGAAATAAAAACTTTTGTTAAAACTTAGGCTGTTAGAAAAAGTAGAAGACTTTTTGGGGGTAGACAGAAAGATAGTTTTGAAAGAAGGTTGTTCACAATGTTTAGAAGAAGTGTGGGTAGTCGGGGTTTACATAACAAACACATACGGAGCGGGAAAGAGTGGAAACACAAACACAATTTGCTGGTTGTGGATTAAACAGTTATTTTTTTAAGGATATTCTTTTATTTTCTTTAAGACAGAAGCCCAACTCGGAAAATTCGGTTTAAAGCGGCCCACGAGGCCAGCCATGTTGCTTCAAATTGTGAGTCGAATTCAAATGAGGTTGCAGTAATTGAGGCGAGTCAGCACCTCAGAATTTTTTTTGTTTGCTTTGTGATCTTTGCATAAATCAAAACAAAAAATGTAATTAATAACCAACTAGGAAGCGATATTCTTCAGGGCAAGCCGAAGTTTAGACACCCTTGCAGATGGAGGGTATGTTTTTGATTTAAATGAGATTGGGAAAGGTTTAATTATTAATGGCTTTCTTTTTCTGGCTGTAAACGTTGCAGCGGCTGCTTAAGATTTTTATATTATGATAAAGTATATCAAAAAATGAGTAATATTGCGCATGGTGCAAAGTTAAAGCTGCATCGTTTACAACCAATTTTAAGCTGAGGTTACACGGTGAACCAGCTCGGTCTACACGCAGCACCAATTCTCCAAAAGCTCTTAGCTTTGCTATCTATCTTTTCTAATGGTTTTGGTACTCCATGCTGCATGAAGAGTGTATATGTAGTGCTCATTCACCGAGTAACTCTTGCTTAGAAGACAGACTATGAAGACAGACGAACGGATACCGAATCTTTACAGCCCTCTGCAAGAGGTAGGGTATATCGTAAGCATCCGGAATGCAATGCTACTAAGGCTGCTGCTTTTGCTGATACTGCTGATGGGGGGCCAAAGCCGAGAGTTTGCGTCTATGCATAAAAATGTTCGCGTTAACAAAATGCCAACGATTACGATACGATATACGAGCACACACGCTGTGTGGGTGGGTGTGGTGATCGGTGGTTTTTGGGCGCAGCTACTTAGCATTGGAATGACTGCATAGCGCATTAGTGAAATATGAATGGAAATTATAATATGCAAGGCGCTGTAATGACTTTGGTTCTCATCGGCTATTTGTTGGGTATATACTGTAGATGTTCTTGTGGATGGTTCAACGCTAGGTACGAGTAACGAAATGAGGTAAAGACACAAAGCAAATGAGTTCCAAATGGGTCATACGGTATAAGAGTATGCAAAAATTTCACTATTCCGAATTAGCTCTTCTTAATCTGGGGCAAGACAGAACACACACAGAGATATAGATAGATAGATAGTTCGATAGAGATGGATGTAGGGTGGAGAGATGGGGGCATGAAAGTACTCCGAAAGTAAAGGAGATAAACATACACAAACAAATATAAAGAAAGTTGAGAGTTGGTAGACAGGAGGAAAGTTGAGGCGTGTGTGTTGTGTGTGTGTGTGAGATAGAGAGTTGTGTGTGGTGGGGATGGGTGGGCGGTGGGTGGGTTGAACAGTTGTATGGAAAAGAATTCGGACACAAATCGTTGTTTAGTTTAAGTCAAAGAAGTAAATCAAAATCCATAATAAGTCACACATAAACGTTGCATAAACACACAGTCAGATCTTTTTGGTATTTTTGTTTTCTTTACTCTGGGCGGGCCTACACACTTGGGCATTTCACATTTTTGTAACCGGCAAAAACAGTGGGAAACGAACAAGAAAACACATCAAAAAAGATTGAGGGAGGAGTATACATCAAAACATATATTTAGGTGGGGATTAAAAACACACCATGGTTCAGTTTAGAATCAGTTCAAACGTTGCATCAATCAGTTAACCAATCAGTTTGCTTAATCAATCAATGGATTAGCAATGTAAAGGAAACATGCCAACAGCTAGAATTGGAAAATGGTGTGTATATTTTGGTAGGTCGCTTGAACTGGTCGCTAAACCCTGTCTGGAAAATAAGGTAATATTTCGAACTGAGGATAACGCGGCTAACACTATACGATATAAGGCTGAAGAAAAATATTCAATAAGGTTCTTTCCTTAAACGTATATAGTTATAGTTAATGCTTTTAATAATATATTTTGAATTTATTTTTACGATATTCGTTTACGATATTCGTATACCAATTATAATACCCGATAGTTTTAGTACGGTATTTCGCTTAGCACTATGGTGATTCTACTTTTTATCGCGGCGCAGTATTTAAGGACACATCTACTTTCCTTTTTACGATATTCAGATGACCGATTTAACTTATTCGAATTGTTGCTTGTATGAAGAATGCAGCGCATTGTGTGTGACACAATCAATCAGTTTGTAACGAAAGCACAGGAAACGAAAATTCAAATCAAATCAACGGATATTCGAAACGAAAAGTCATGCCTAAGGAAAATCATGAGCATTATATCATTAGCACATCGTACGGATCACAAATGGGGGCAAACGGAGGTGGTCAGGAGGACTTACCGAGTCGAGGGTGGTGTCGATGTTCCCATTGGGACGATCGGCGAGCGTGGTCTCCTTGAGGTTGATCTTGACGTGGTTGGCCGCCGAGGTGGTGGCACCACCGCGCTGCGGCTTGGTGGCATCCAGCAAGACCTTCAGCGAGGCAATGGCGTGCAGCTGCGTCGCCTTCTCGTCCACTTTGCCTGGAACATCATCTTTGTCATTGTAATTGTGTGTGGTTTTTTTTTTGCGAGTGTTTCGATAAATAATGCAGTGTTTGTTTGTTTATTGTTTATTGTTTGTTGGTACACAAAACACGAGTGTGGTGGTGGTGGTGTTGGTGTGTGGCGAGTAGCGGTGTTGTCGTTGTTGTTGTTGTAGTATTTATTGTTGTGTGTGCGGTTACGGTATTCGGTTTTCGGTATTCGATTTTCGGTTTTTTTGTTGGCACACAACGAATTCAGTTTTTTTTGAACGCAAAATCCAAGTGTTTATTTTTATTTGATATTTTTTTTTGGTTTGGTATTTTTTTTTGCGAAAAATCAAAAGAAAAAAAGAAGAAAAAGAAAGAATAAAATTGCATCGATTAAAATCAGAAATAAACGAATTAACCCAGTTACGAGTTTCATTTTCAGATTTAGTTTCTTTCTTAGGGCTTTTAATTTACAATCAAATTTACTCATTTAGGGGTTTGGATTGGATCGTTCATATACGCAAATATATGTCTATATGTATATTGAAAATATTTTATACAAAATGTTGATGTCAGTTGCGAGACAGCATTTGGAGGTTGCTTGAGTAAGTTAACAGATTATAGCTATGGGGATACAGTCTAGTCTATATAGAGTAGAGTTCAGTACAGGGTATGACAGAGTAGAGCGGAAGAGAGCGGGGAGAGCGAAGAACGGTCAGCAGAGAGGAAGGGGTTCGTAAGCTGACTAGGACTACAGCTAGGACTATAAGTAACTAGGTCTAGTCTAGAGATCACTACTGATATTTACCGTGTCAGAGTCTCATGGGTATTTGGTCTAACTTTTGTCTCTGAATCGATCCGATTCGAGCTATTGAGTGTGAACTTGTGTTTTGCACTAAGCTGATTAAATATTTGAGGTTTCGATCTGGTTTTTTGATGATGCTTGGGGATCGGACGGGGTTTTCTGATGGGTTTTAATTCGATTCGATTCGGTTTTCTGTTGTCAATGCGGCGTGAAGTTCTCTTTTGAATTTACATTTTCTCAGGGGACCATCTGACTAGATAGCTACATTTGAAAGACCCCTTTGCTAGAATTGCTCTAGGTATATACATATACATATGTGTGTATATATGTACACGATTCCGATAGACTTACAACTAAGCTTAGCTTACGTTTCTATAGATCGCATGTGTGTGTGTGTCGCGGTGGGTAGATATAGGGGAGGTTCTTAACGGTACTGATATGGCTATCGTTGGTTTAATACAGACCTAGTGAAGAACATGCTCATACAGAGAACTGAGCAAAGGCACGACTATTTCGTTCGGGATGGGACTTGCGATCTTGGCTGCTCTTGAGGGAAACTGGCAATCGAGCAAAGTGGCAGGGCAATTATAATCTATCCAGATCTATCGAGATCATTGCCATCGGAGTTTGGAAAACGATTTCCGCCCGTCTCTGCCGGATTTCCACTAAGCTCAGGCCCAAAAACACAATTCCCATACAACGAGCATAACGAGTTGAAAGAAACACACATTTAAACAATATATGACGAACATTCCAGTGACAAAAAGCGATCCGACCTATGCAAAAACAACCTGAAACAAGCTCGACTAGTCGCACATGCAGTCGAGGCTCGTTAATAGTTTTCTATCTACTCGGGTGTGGATGGGGTGTATAGTATAATAATGTATGAGTCTGAGCCCCTAAGACTAAGTTGAAGCCGATTTCGAACCGCATTGCTGCGAGCCAATTGTACTAGTTGCTAACTAATTACAATTTCAATTACAATTACGATAATGATTACGTTTAACACATACAACATTAAAAACGCATAGTTAATATATGTACAATATAAATTGTTTTGTTTTTGTCACGCGTCAAACTCAACTCAATCCAGCATTCAATGGCATAGGTACTCGAACTATGGCATATATTAAGACCTGCAGTATATCTATATCTTGCAGTATATTCATTTAGTTATTTAGCCAGTACGTATGCCATTGAACTGCGCTCACAAACTCTAGGAATTTATGATAAGTTCTCTATGCTAGATATATAACGCATATGTATATATATATATAGATATATTGGTATAAATGTAACTCCAAACTGACATTGAACAACATAAAATATTTTCGTTATTTTTTTTTTTTTTGTTTGTTTTTCTGCTTTTCTTTTTGTTTTATTTTTTGGTTTTCTTGTTTGCAACAAAATGAAAAACAAAGCCGAAAGTAAATCAGTAAATAGCGTATTTGTGAAGCATTAGCAACTTAAGTCGAACGAATAAACCCTTGTGACCTGACTTAACAGTTTCTAATTGAGATCCGCTTTAAATTAAAAAGTCTGAATCATCTAATTATTCAAAATGGGGAACTTTTGAATTAAAATCTCTGCTGTCAGTTAGCAATGACAGAAATATGTAATGTTATTGTGTTAATGTTAATATATTCTTGATAGTTTAATTGATACCTTTTGTTTTTCCAATGCATTCCTGTTAAATATATAAAACTATTTAAAGAGATAAGTTTATTATAACGAACTTGCTCCGAATAGTTATTGGAAAATTAAACCTATAATTGCATTTTTTCTTCTGCTTTGAAACCTCTGTAATTTTTCACATATCTCTTATAGAACTGCTAGATAGTTGAGGTAGGCCCACTTGGAGCTACACGAATTCTAACACTTCGCACCTGCGAACCTTGGCGAACACGCCCCTGAGCTGCCTCATTTCGATTCGTTTAATTTTCTGTGGGCCATTGCCGTGGCAACGACACTGAGGTCTTTCCTACATATTCATAGGGTAGCTATAGCTACACAAAGTCAATCCATACCAAAATCAATGGTGGAAAGTGGGCCCAATCTGATTGGAAACTTTGCAGAACTACAGAATCTATCTATCCGGTGTGGGAGTAACAATATCGCGATGACCTTTCCCTCTTCCTGCCGCACCCAAAAGCAAAGGGTTAGTGCTGTCAATCGCGCCTGCTGACTCTTTTCTAATTTCTCCCCTCTTTCTTTTTTGGTTCTAATTCTAGTCGACGGAGCGTCTGGGCCTGGCGTGCTAATTAGGTAAGTGGCTCCAAGGTCGCCATTAAAAAAGTGAACCAAAGCCAACGAAAGCTAAAACCAAACTGAAGGAAAAACAAAACATAACAAACCGAAACGAACTGAAAGGCAACAACGCAACGCAAATGAGAAATGGAAGTAGAAGTGGAAATCGGAGCATAGACATAGATACAGAATACAGATATAGATAGAGATACAGTAATTGGGTAGAGCTGCAGAAGTGGAAGGATGAGCGAAAGTAACTTCTGGCTGGCAAGTCAAACATCCAATTAGAAGATACACGAAATTTACACAGAATTTTTTAGAGAAACCGAAAAACAAAACGAAACTGAATAGAACAATTTTACTTTAGAACAGATATAGATAATAGGTACAGGTACAGGTAGTATATATAGTATAGTATATAGAGTAGAGTTGAATGTTATTGCATTTGTATTTATCTTATTTTGGATGTAAGCGTGGCGGACTGGGAGGGCACTGATGAACAAATTGTAAATCAATATTTAATGTTTATTTAATTTAAGACTTATAAAGAAGATTATCTTTATGGGAAGAACTTTAACGTTCATTACATTATACATATTGAATCATTGTTTTTATATTTACGTAAAGGCTTTAAGATATGACTATAAAAAGAATACACATTAAAGTTACTCATACGCCATGTATAACAGCGATTTCAAAGTTACACAACTATTTCTTGAGCAGGGCGATAATACCTTTAACTTTATAAATGAAGTAATCCTTTTATTAAACAAACATTCTAGCTTTTACTTATCAAGTTGTATAATTAAATGTTTGATTTAGGCAATTCGCTCATCAGCGCTTAGAGGTTATAGATCTGGAACTGGGATTGAGGAGTACGGGGAAGATAATGGTTTGCTGGGGTTTTGGGGGACTTCGTTATGGGGACTTTTAGTAGCTTTCTTTTTCTTTTGTTTGCATTTTTGGCATTTGGCTTGACTTGTGCAAAACACACTGTGGCAACTCAACGAACTTACCATCGTGTAGTGGATCTATCGTGTGTATCATTAGCTGTAACAGGCCGTGGCGGAACTTGGCACCGGTCTGAGTACTACCGCTGCTATTACCTGTGGCGCCCGCATTGCTCGATCCGGGCGGACCCGAGCGGGTTTCGCTCGCCGCCCGCGATGTTACGGAGCCGCCCGGTTGGGTGGCCATCGATGTTTCGGAGGAGTTGGCCGCGTTACCCTGCAGTGAAGGAACGGAGAGAACGGTGGGTGGCGTGGGTTTGCGGTTACGGTATCGGGTTAATCGGGTAACGGTCAGTTACGGTTTCGGTTTCGGATTGCAGGTTTCGATTGGGTTAGTATTTTTTTTTTGATTCGGTTGAGTTTTTCGAGTTGTGGTATTTTTCAGAGAGCGGTGTAATGTTTAATTATTATTTTTTTTTTTGTTTATGGTAAGCATATTTCGAGAAAAAGGTGAAAAGAAGAAGAAGAAAAGTTTATTATTGCAATTTGTATAAATTTACAGTTGAGTGTAGCTTTTTGGTTTTTTTTTTCTATTGTCGCATGTTTCTGTAGCTGTTGTTGTACTTGTTCTTGTTGGTGGTGTTGGCTTGGTGTTGTTGTAGTTGTAGTTGTTTGTGTGACTTAAGAACTAATCGAATCGGTAAGTGCAAGTTAGTTGGGAGCCAATATCTGAACAGAACTCAGAAAACATCAAACGATAACGTAACCGATAAGAAACTAAAGGAATGTCCAAAAGGAATATAATAAATAAATAAAACATTTGATTACCACAACATCCAACAAAATACGTTATACGATACACGGACCACTTGCGATCAAACTGTGCAGCTGATCTATGGAATATGGTACAATCTGAGGGTTACATTTCAGAGAGATCGACAGTCTGGATCTTAGATTCGATTGGCTTTTTGACGTACTGTCAAAAGTGGATGTTGGAAAGTACAAAATATAGAGTTTCTGAAGGTTTTTGTGCAACAAAATAAACATCTCGATCGGTGCGGTTAACACTTTCATTATTTACAGAAGGACAGTAGGTGCTAAGGATCGATCTTGGAAGTATCTTGCAGAGACCTCAAAAAACTTGGGCTCTTTACGGAGGTGAAACACATGAGTCGTATATTACAAAATCAAAATGATAAGTTCGAAGATGAGGAAACAAAATACGTATAGATGAACACTTTTCGTTTTTGGTCGTTGGAAATTTATTTTCTGTTTGTCTGTTGCAACTGTTTGGTTGGTTTTTTTTATACATACAAGCTTTATAAGACTTTCTTTTTGGTTTTCTTTTTTTTTAAGTTGCTTTGTTTAAAACAAAATATACACATATTGTTGTATTTTTTATATCTGTATTGATATTTGTCAAAGCGCAGTGGGAAGTTTTGTTGTATTTCATTTTGCCTTCACTATAATCAAAAAGAAACAGATAAAACACAAAAACATTTGGAAAAACTTTGTCGGAGAACTGAAACCGATAAATACTTTCAATCGATGCGAATTAATTGTTGGCATATAATAGCGAAGGAAGCGCAGGCAGATGATGGGTCGGATTCGGATTCGGAATCGGTGGGAGTAACTAATGCAAGGCAAGCACTAACCTTACGGCTACGAATATCTAAAACGTGTGTACTGTATGTTAAGGAGGGAGGTGACTAATGACTCTAATGAATGAATGGAAACGAAACGATATGATAATTGGCCTGGTTATACTATATAGTGGTGTAAATGAGTCCGATCGGAGAACGAGTATTTCGTAACTCCCATTCATAAGTCGGACTGAACTGGAAACTGAATCTGAAACTGAAACTGGAAGTGAAGCAGGTGTAGGGCAAGTCAAGTTCAGACCCCGCGCTCTTGGCGATTTAACAAGTGGCTCGTGCCTAGGTGAACTACCCCACCACTGAGCCTGATTATAATGCTAATTAATGCCCAGTCATGTTGTTGATCGACCGAACCAGCCTCTAGCTAATGGTCTGGGTTTTCTGTTCCGATCACACTCATTCACGGTTCAAACTAACAGCACTCACTCATTCACCTGACGCAAAGCCGAAGACACCTGTGAAATCTGATGTCGCACAGAGGGAATTTCTCGAAAGGTTTTTACACCACATGCCGAGAGAAAGAACTCTCCCCCAGGGATTATTCACCTTGAGCCTGTTCCAAACTGCGGCTGTCAGATCGGCCTGATTGATTTAGACAATGCAATTAGCCACTGTTAATGACAGACTATCTATATTAGCTGCAGTCGTGTATGAAATCACGCCAAAAGTATTTTATAATATCGAAAATTCATCACCGTTCGGAGACAAAGACGAGGGGCAATTTACCTTACCAAAGCGCTTAAATCACATAATGAATTATTTAAGTTCAGCATGAATCACCCAACGTAATTCAACAAAAAAAAAACTTAAGATCAAGCTCAAAATTTCGCCTGTCGACCTGAGTGGCTTACCAAATGATCTAAGAGATGCAAATCCGCAAGACAAACAAAAGCTCAAATTGTCACTCAACCTGTTTGCGTGCCATAATGTAATGGGTAACCGAATGCGAGTAAATATCTCTGAATCGGAATCAAAATCGGAATCGGAAGAGATGGCAACCTGCCAGGGTGACCCCCAAAGCCAGTTCCAAGAAATGGCGCAAATATTCCTGGGATCCACTTGTGACGTATTGGCGATTTGTTTACGCTCCATATGTGGCTTAGTAAACAGCGAATGATAAAGCGTTATCCGACTGATAACCGGATTGGAGACCCCTCGATGCATTCAGTTGGAGAGCGAAGAGCTTGATTTTGAGCTTGGCTTCGGGACCCGGCGGTTCGATTGCGGTCGGCGCTGTAATACGAATGTTTATATATAGCCCAATGAGGCGCACGTCGTCTTTAGTCAGTCACGAAGCTTTAACCAAACCGCATCGAAGCGCGAACCCACCAGCCACAATGTTTCAGAAAAGGATTATCGAATTGATCACGGTCCTCGTGTACTGGGTGATTATCACCCCGACCCTCTACAAGTACTGCACGGAGAATGGGATCGTGAGGATGAGCTTCGACACCTTGGTGGGCACTGTGGGTGATCACTGCACCCTGGCCCTCTGCCTGATGATTGGATACGTCGTCTTCTACCGCATCATCATATTCACCTACATGAAGCTGAAGGTCTGCGATATACGGATGTGGGACGAGCTTCAGAAGGCCAAAACGGATCCGGAATCGGGTTTGGACAAGAAGTCCTATTACCAGCCCGTCTCCACCGAGAACATCGATGTCGTTGACTCTGGCAAGAAGAAGAGCAGGCCAGAGACTCCGAAGATGATAAGGACCATCAGCAATCCTTTGCTCATCGAAAGCGATTTGGCTCGCATTCACATCAAGCACGAAACGCGACCGCTGGAAAGTGCCACCCTACCCAGGCTGCAGCAGGCGCAGGTCCACCCTAGTCCAAGTCCCAGCCTGAGAAGTGCACCACCCGTGCCCCAAGTGCAGAAAAGTGCCACTCTGCCGAATCAACACAGCAAAGGCGTGATTATGTCTCCCAAGGTTCTGATGCCCAGACCTCAACAGGTGTAGACCGAAGTGATTAGTGCCTAAAAGTCGGCTCATAATAACGACCACCAATTTTGGTTTTAGTTTCTGTGAAATTCTGAGCTCAACTTAAGAGGACCAAGTCCACATCAAGTATTAGCTACTGCCCAAAGATCGATAATCGAAACCGAATCGAACACGAAATTAGTCAATCACCACATTCCAGTGCACTCGTTCGCGCGAGCTAAATCAATTCTTAGTTAAGTGAATATATTTATTACTAGTCATAAGGCAGCTAGGCTATTGTTATCTGTGTACCTACTTATCGTAAATCACACGCACAAAATGCGAGATATTATTAAACAGAAATAAATCAAGTGCAGCTCTTGTTAAACTTAACTAATTTTTTCTTTGGGAGATACGGGAATGGAAACTACTTTCCTGGTACAAATCGATGACTAAGTCGTATCTGACTGATGACCGCAAAGGATTGGACTCATGTTTTACTGGTGACCGAGTTCATGAGTATGAGTTTGCTTTGGGAAGCCGACAGTTTGAAATTGTCTGAGGCTGGATCACTAGTGTTTTTAAAATCTCGCAACAAACTTTTTTTTACGAAGCGTTGAAAAAAATTTTATTGAGCTGTAAATGTTTCAGAAAAGAATTATCGAGGTGATCAGTTTGCTAGTTTTCTGCTTTATCGTAACTCCGATGAGTTACAAATATTGCAAGAACAAGAAAATCGTCAGAAAAATCGAAACCGATGACCTGTTGGAAACGCTGTACGAAAACTGCACCTTTATACTATGTGCGCTGATTGGCTACGTAGTCTATTACCGCATTATTATGTTCAGTTACATGAGGCTTAAGGTCATTGACATAAAAATGTGGAAGAAAGTGAAGGAGGCCAAAAAAGATCCGGAGGCGTTTTTTGGTAAAAAGTCCTGCAACAAAAGCCCATACCAAGGACCGTTACATTTTATGGAATCTGAAAAAATTAAGAGAAAGCAGGTTCCCAAGATGATAAGGACCATCAGTAATCCACTTGTCATTGAAAGTGATTTGGCTCGCATTCACATCAAACACGATACGCGGCCATTGGAAATTGTCACCCTACCTATGCATCAGGCACAGGTCCACCCTAGTATGATTTCCAGCTTGAGGCGGGCTCCACCTGTACCTCAAAAGCAAGAAAATTACACTCTACCGAAAATCCATACCAAAAGCCGTATTGTGTCTTCCAACATTATAATGGCCGCTGCCTAACACACAAAGATGTGAATAATTAGGGGCTAGAATCATTATAACGTCTAATAAATCCAATCGGAGCTCTACGACGATTTAACATATATCAAGTTAGTGTACAAAATTTAAACATTAAAAGGAATTTATGAAAAATCAACCCTTAAGAATGACGAGTCATGTAAATATATACGGGTGATCTGGCCGCTGAATGCGTTTTTTAAGTATGTCTGAGATTAGACCCAAAACCACAGAACTTTGTTGAGCTCGGTGCTGAAATACGATCATTTTAAGACCCGAGGGTCATTTGTTTTTCAAACTTCATACGCGACGCAACAAAAAAAAAATGTTTGAGAAAAGACTTGTCGAATTAATATCGCTTTTTTTGTACTTTACGCTAACCGTACCGATTATATATTCATGTAGGGACGATCAATTTTTAAAATGGGACGGTGGAAATATTTTAGATTCGATTTCCCAATATGGCTTGTTCGCCATCTGCCTACTGGTGGGCTATGTCCTCTTTTTCCGCCTGTTCATATTTATATACACGGCGCTAAATCTCTGGCACATTAAAATGTCGTATGAGTTCGATATGAAAAATAAGGAACTGGAAGCCAAATACGGAAAAAAGTGGAGAGGAAAGGCAACTTCAAGGAAGAATGCTAAAGTTGAGGACCATAGAAAAACAAGAAGGTCGCCATCGTTGAAGAAAATGGCCGGATTCGAAGAGAGTGCTTATATCGCGGACTTTGAAAGTGCACTATCCTCGATCCAATCCAAGATAGATCTGGCTGGCATTCACATCAAGCATGAAAAAAGGCGATTAAGGTGATGCTGAAGACTGGACCTCAATCAAGGGGAATCCAACCTACAAATAATTCACAGGAGTTCAATCCGGAATGATAATATAGCTAATGTCCAAAAATATATTCCCAAATATTGTTTAATCTGAATGTACTTATAAATACCCACTCATAATACAGCTTTTGTAAACTTTGTACATATACAAACCGCATGATTAATTGAATAATAACAAAGGGTTATCTTAGTAAAAAAAATCTGTTTTAATAGAATGCCGACAATGACTTTAAAAAAAGGTGAAAAGGTAAAGTCCTGATAGAAGTTCTTAGCTATATAGAACTTTATTATGGATCCCGAGGCCATTTTTTTAATAATTTTTCATAATAATAATTTCATAAGCCCATTAATAACTTAAGGATGAGCCCACATACCAGATGCTATTGAATTACTTAAATCGCTTTAAAGACTTTAAGACGTATTCAAGACATTCACCTGAGAAGAAGGATGAGAAGGTGTGCGCATGAGATGTGTTATACAGAGCAAGAAGCATGGACTACATTTAAAGAAGAAGTGTTCTACGCATGCGTACAGATCTCGTTCTTCTCCCACACTCATTCCGTCTCACTCACGCTCGCGCATGCAGCGGGTTCGAGTCCCGGCTGAAGATCAAGATCAACGACAAGATCAACTTCGAGCAGTGTGTGCAGGTTTCTTTCTGGGATTCACTAGCATGCAGAGTTCTCTTCGGATCGTGTCAGGAGTGTATGCCCGTGTGTTAGTGTCTGTGGGTGTGTGTGAGTGAGTGGGCGTGTTCAGTGGGTGTGGGTGTGGAGTTACACAAGTCGAAAGACGCATAGCAAATCAAACGGTTGACTAACAAATGGAATCGAAGCTAAGTACTAAAGAAGAAATTAGAAGTTTAACTAGTGAGTAGAATTAAGATTACTTCGATAGCATGAAAGAATAGTATAATAATAAGAATAATGATAAAAGTTAGTAGAACTCGGAGGTGCAACGCAGACGGGAATAACCAGTTAGCAAGGTCTTTTCAAATAAATTATATATCAAGTTGATTGTAGAAATCTGAAAGGCTTATGCACTAAGATTTCTGGGTTTTTTAAAAACCAACGCTAACGCCTCTAACGTATGCAACATATATCACAACTTTCTTGTTCTTCCAGAATCCGGTAGAATTAAAATGTATTTTAAAAACGTGATCTCAGTTTTCAATAAATACTGGAGGATCTAAAATGCTCAATTGCAAAGATAATCCCCAACCGGTTTAGTCTTACGATTTCAATAGGTATTTTTAATTAGACACTCCCCGTTTTACCGATAAACCGGTTTTGGGTGGGAATAACCCCAAAGATGGGTCTAGAAATGCCATATAGATGAGTAGTTCGATTTCGAACTGTAATGAAACTTATAGTAGGTCAAGGCGATGAATGGAGTGTTTCCTGGACCTGTTTTCGAAACACAGGTGAAATTTGAGTGAAACTCTCGTCAGATTAATGTCATCGCCTTCAATGCCAAAGAGCATCATCAGCTCGGCACAGATATCTTAGTCACAGACGTTTCTTCGATGATTGCAGCCACAATGGCCCTTAGTCATAATGATTTAGCACCTGCTAACTGGTTAAAAGCCCGGCACGCGCCAAATGCTCGCATGAAACTGAGACAGAGATTGAGACTGGGGATGTGGAGATGGATGTGGAGGTGGGATTAAAGGCGGATTAATAGGTGGGAAAAACATACACAAAACGAAAATCAAAAACGAAATTTCGTTCCTGGCAAAGGATCTTTGTTTTCGTTTTAACTTTGATTCTTTTCATTTTCAGTTGGCACACAAAATTTTGGCTTTCAATTTCGCTTTCTCTTTTACGATCTTCTTGATTAACGTTTTTTGTAATGGTTTTTTTTCTTTTCTTTCATTTTCGTATTCATTACTTTTCTTTATTTAAATTTTTTTATTTGGTTTTCTTTTCGTTTTTAATTAAGAATTTTTCGAGATAGAGAGAGAGAGATTCTGTTGGAATTTTTGGATTGATTTGATTGATTGATTTGATTTGATCTGAATTGATTTGTTGCAAAAAAACTTCCCAACTACTTACTGCTGGCATAAGTTGATCTGTACTTCTGACGCGAGTCACCTTGTTTTTGGTAATCATCTTCTTGACGCACGTCTCCACCTGGACGTTCCACTTCATGAAGGCCACGTAGGCGATGTAGATGGTGAACAGGATGAGGGCCTCCCACCAGAAGATGCGGTTGTCCCGGAAGAAGTAGATCAGCACCAGCAGGCTGATGCTGTAGAACGAGCAGTCGCGGAACAAAGGCCACCAGGTGAGCGACAGGACCGTCTTCGAGAAGAGGGCGCACATCCCGATCACGAACAGGATGTTGAACACGGCGGATCCAACGATCGTACCAATGCCCACGTCGTCGAACGACACGAAAACGCCAATCACACTGGTGAAGAGCTCGGGGGCACTGCCACCCGCCGCCATAAACGTAGCGCCGGCCACATCGTCCGTAATGCCGAGCTTTTCAATGATTACGTCAAGGGAAGGCACGAAGAATTCATCACAGACAATTGCCAGCGCCACAAACATATATATCACCCCAATGATGTGCAGGATGACAGCGCCGTTCTCAAGCTGTTCTTTCGTGAATAGGTCTTTCGGGAATAGTGGCGTTTTCGTGGTGGTCGAGTTATCGTTGTGCGTGTCTGCAAAGAGTAAGTGTACAAAAGTGGGTTAGGCTTCAGTGGGTTACAATTCAAATTAGCATTATGTTGGTGGAGAGGAAGAGAAATAAGGATCCGAAAATAATTTGGGGAACTCAACATAAGTAATGTTTTCAGAACTTCGTCCGAAATATTAACTTATTGCTTTAGTTTAGTATAGGTATAGTTTTATACCTTCCGATGGCTTGGGTCTTACTTTCTAAAACAGGTTTGGGTTTTATAATTTGTTACTACTTTTGATAGTAAAATATCTTTCACTCCTTATAGAGTTTAAGGGCACATAGTTAAAAAAGTATAGGGTTTTTAAATCCATTTTCTTTCGCAACTAAATCTCTTAAAGAGAGAGGCTCTCGTATAATCTCTTGCCCAGAAGCCATTTCTTTGTTCCAGAGAAGTACTTTATATCGTTAGTTTAATAAAAATCTCGTTTTAACAAAATGCTTTATACATATGGATAAACGAAACAATAAAACACTCTTCCCTGAATTAATTAAAATGTTCTGTGCACTTTTTATAGACAAACAAAAAAGGTTATGCCATTCCAAGAATATAGAAACAGGATAAACTCTTTATTACTGCCCAATACCAGGAAATATTAATTTGAATTTGAAAACAAACTTTTTTCATTACATTTTATAAATACAACCAAACGAAATTTCAGGAAATCCTTGTAAAGGGTTGAGAAAAAATAAATATATCCACTATTGATTTTTACAGCGGACTGATTTATGAAAATAACACTTGAATATTAATGTTATGTAGTAATGAAATCTTTGACATAAATTCCTCAATGCTTAAAAATCAATCTAATATGTATTTTCCACACGACTGCATCATTATTATAAACTGCACAGGAAGACAACGCAAAGACGATGAATCGAACGAATCGGATTGTCAGACAAAATTGTCATTTAGTCGTCTGCTATTCGACCTTTTCGATTGCTACCTGTATCCATACAGTACATATCTCAATCTGCGATTCGTTCAATCCATCCCCAATTAAACATCCTCAATTAAGTGGCTCGACCTTTTGGAAATCGCTGGCAAAACTCCCTTGTCGCATGCGGCGCCTTTGGTGTGCGATTTTCATGGCAATTATTTTGTAAATTATGCAGCGCATTGTGCAACAATTAACAAATTGCACTTATTCGACGCCGACTTCGGCAGTCCAAGTCGCTGACTATGATGATGATGTTGCTGATGATGGTAAATGTTTGCAATGTAAATGTTTAACAATCATTTGCACTGTGTGAGCAATCATTTTGGCGCGTGTGCCAAGCAAATAATTAACGCGGCTTTAATCGCAGCTCCACTGATTCATGTCATTCACACAGTTCTAATAAGTCAGCTTCGATTTCTTTGTGTGGCAGCCACAAATGCCACATAAATCATCGCGGGACTTGTAATCTTGAATCTAACTTTGTTTGTTTTTAGGTTTTTTTTGCTCTCAAAAGATGGGAGATACTGGAAATTCAAGGTTGAGTTTAAGGAAAGGGTTACCAAGAATAATATAATAAGGTTGTCTAAAATTTTAAAAATGTTAGTTAGTGTTATTGGACTCTATTATTTGTCTTTGTTTTAATGTAATTAGTTTATTAATGATCTTTTGAAATATATTTTTTTTTGTTATGGGAGACAGGAGAACCCTATTTCCTACGCCTTTGAAATAGGTAGTGTCAGGATTGACTCACTTTGTTTTCAGTTCGAGACGTTAGACCGAACAAATAGACGGGCAGCGAAGAAATTTGCTCTATAACCGGTTTTTATACAGACGGACTCCCTGCCAATTTGCATGCAGTTAACGGACCCCGCCGCACCACACCCACTGGCCCCACCCACTTTCAGTTGGGGGCGGTGGGCGTTTTGACATCGAGCGAGAGCCACAAGTGAATGATTCTTATGAATCACTGGGCAAATGCTTAATGAGTGACGACGACCGAGACGATGTCTCTCGAAGCCGATTGAATTTGAACACATTTGCAAAAGGGTTGCGGATTTTTGGGAGGTATGTATGGGTGGCAACCGTTCTCTGTTAACACTCGCTTTCAAGCGGGTGCCCTGCATATCGAACTGGATCATCGGCCTTCGAAACATATTAATGAGCAGACTTTCTGATGGGTTACTCATGCAGTTATGAGTTGGTCAATGGGCTTCAGCCACTGCGAAAGCTATCGAGAGCAATTGAAAACGGTAGAAATTGGTTCAGAAATGAAAAAATATATATACAAAAATTCCAAAAATAGGTACGTGTCATTGAAGAAGTTACCTAACTGATTGTATTCGTAATTAAAGCAAAAGATAACCTAAAACAATATCACATACGTGACACAGTGCGAAATCCCATATCTTCTCGGTGAGATTTGTACAATTGTGATACACTTTTATCTTATCTGTCAGAGAGATTGGAATTGAATTGGATAAAGTGTTGTTTGTTATCTATGGAATCTAATTCCATGAAAATAACAAACAGATCATGTAAACAAAAATGGTAAATTTTGCAGCATCAATAATAATAAAGAAGGCATAACAACAAAATAATAAAAAGCAATTTTATGTAAAACAAAAGTGATTCAACCTTAATGAGTTGTTAGATTTATTCATGTTTAATAAATAAATAAGAACTTATGTTATCTCCATAAAATGAATCACAGTTATAAAATTACTTGTGTCCAAGTGTTATAGCCCTAAAAATAGACTGCCCTCGAAAAGAATTACGAGAAAGCAATAAATATAAGTAATCTCACATTTCTACTGGGACTTAGTATAGAAAAGTAGAGCATTTATAAATGTTTCAGTTTTAAAGACATCTTGAGCTTATTGAGCAGGAGCTCTAAATAATTTGCAAGACTATATTTTGCGAATAACCGATTACGCCATCGAATCTTCATATCTAGAAAAAATATTCAATATTGCCTGCACGAGCCCCTCAAAGCAGTGTTGGTCATCAAATTGTTATTGGTTCACTTGATGAAGGTAAGAAAATAATGACTATTAAATATTATATATTATTTATTGTATCTGATTATTTATTGCGATTGTTATTTGTTGTCCATGTGGGCGTCTGCCTTGCTGGCTGCCTGCTCTCCACATGGAATACTTGGTCAGGGGCGAGGGGAAACCAGTTCCGAGTGCCGCGATTGAAATGGCACTAACAATTTGACTAAGCGATTGCAGTCGTCGTGAGCTCAGGAACTCCAGAGCTCATATAGAGATGGTATCGTGACTAAAATCGAATATAATTAACATTTAAATGAAAACAGATGGATTGCTGGCGTCCAATCAGATTGCTTGGAGAGTGCTTTAGATGAAATCACCAAAAGTTGAGCGCTCATAAATATTGCTATGTGCTTTTTTCATATGATAAGAAGTATGGAAAGAAATGGATCAAGATGATATGCCAATTACTCAAACATTTATTATAACTTATATGTTTAGATTTGTAACTTAAGTTTATACGGTCAATAAATTAGATAAAAAGTATTAGGAAGACTTTTTGGAGATGAGAAAAAATGTTGATAGGCAAAGAAATAGTTCAAAGAAATATATGCTTATTGAATTAATAATATATGAATTTACAATTGCACGTCATAACTTGAAAATTTTGAAATCATGGAAGATAAATGTACGTAATGATTTTATTAGTAGAATTATTTTAAGTAATGAAAATATAATTCATATTTAAATTTTTAAATTGTTAAGCCGCAATGGACTAAAATAAAAGCGAAGCTTTTTAAATAGAGTATGAAATTAATGGGTTTTCTTACTTTTGTATCAGGGTAGACAATATAAAACGTTCTAAAATTAAATTACGAATAACAAATCCTGTATATAATCTTTAACTTCCAATTTTGTTTAACAGATAATTCAATTTCCCCCATTTGTGGAACAGTTCTAGAGCTGGATCCTCACGCCCCCATCTCCATCTGACAATCAAGCCCACTCACACACTGCCGGCGGGTATGTGATATGCGTCATGCGACGCGTTGTTTACGGAGCAACCGAAGTCGTAACCAGAGAACAAAGCCACATCAGAATGCTCTGCGGCTGTCGCCACTCGCAGTGCGAATTCGCAATCAGTTTGCAAGTTGGAACCGATTCATTCAGATGGCAGCCGCAGCAGTCCAAAATTTCGGCAAGGAGGAGCTCTTCGTGAGCCGGGCCACAATTCAGCTGCAGTTGCCGCAGGGCGGAGCCCATTCACCCATCTTCGAGTGGCGCACACAGGTGGTGACGGCCACGCCCCCGCCCGTTCCCGCCCAGGAGGAGGAGTGCATTAGCAGTAGCCAGAAGACCGCGGAGGCTGCCACGCCCAAGAGCAATTACTACACGCCCCCGCGGATTTTGGGAACGGAGGCGAAACGCAAGAATCTGCCCCAAACAATGGGCAACTTCTTCGAGGCGGAGCGCCACGCCAGCGCCTGGAATCGCGTGACCATGAAGTAGGCAACCCGATAAATCCCCGAAAACCCAACCGAGAGGGAGGCCTAATCGATTAACCCATTAAGTGCCAAGAGCTGCAGGATAGTGAAATTCCATTCCGTTGCCGAAAATTCCAATTCATGCCCCAAAATTGCTTACTCGTTTGGTGGATAGAAATGCTGGCCCAAGGCAGACCCAACTATGTATATAAGCATCCCATGAATATTTATGTGCCACCCCATATACCATATATACATACTATGTACCCTGATAATGCAATAAAAGTATTATTTGATAGATAAAGCGAAATTTCTCGAGTCTCGCCCTCTCGCCCTCCCAAGGGGTTAAACTTCATTAGGACCCGATAAGCAGGGACCAAATGACTTTGGGACTTGGCTGCGGATTTTCAGCTCTTTTCGCTACGTCATCAGTGTGCATAAATCACGGCTGAACAAACGCACGAAAATTACAGGAACCAGCTAACGTGAAAGTAAAAGTAAAAGTAATAGAAAAAGAACGAGTAAGAATCAAAGAAAAATCGCACGCCTGGCCGGAAGTTCATT